CTTCCTACCAATATGACTGTCGCGAAAACAAGGTCAAACAACCTTTATAAGATATGGGCCGATCTGATTATGTAGGATATGATGAGATTATAGTCAAAGACATCACTGGTTTTTAATTATCATCTGCAGACCATAATCATAAGCTAAATGATTTTTCTCATTTTACCCTTATTTAGGCCAACTGGATGGGACAGCTGGAAGAAAATCGGCATTCTTGAAGAGAATCTTGTCCAAATCCGACCAACCGATTCATTTCCAGAAGTAATTCCTCGTCCTCCACCAACTCGAAAGCAGGTTCCAAGGGAGCCCGACATAATCGCTCAGGACGATCAGGTTAATCATGGCTCCTAGGGAATTTTGTACCTTTGAGTTTAGGTTCCTAGGCTTCATCTGTGGGCCACATTGTGATATGCTGCCTGACATTTATCTCGAGCTTGTCTTTACAACTTCAATTGATTTAGCATCTATTTTCTTTCAACCAAGGTTGGAGTAATTTATCGTGATTCAATTACGAACAACTGGATGCTTGAAGAAGGGGAGTTCCATGCTTAATTTTATTTCACTCATACTAGCTTATGTCAACATGAAATAATCGTATAGAAATTGTTTGACCTTGTTTTCGCAACTCGGCCATATTGGCAGAAAGGCCTAGAGGAACGCACTTTGTCCGGAGTCCCGAGTATGTATGATAATTTCCAGTGTCGGACCATAGACTTGGTACATTCTCAGACATTTCGCCGGCATCGTAGTCGGCATCTTTAATGAGCCTTAACATTCTTAGAACCACACTAAAACTCGTCAAAGAGACAAGGGTAGTCAATCCTTTGGTCAATTGCCTGATAAACAGTTGTGGTATCTTTCCTGTCTTGGGCTATTCACCTATCCTATATCCCCGTACCTCTTTAATATCACAATTTCTTACTTGTTTATATAAACCTATTTGCAACATATTCACACTCTCCGCTAGTCTCCACATCACTCCCACTGTGCCGGAAGTGTTGATCTAAGGCTGCAGTTTAATTCGCTGTTCTCTTCCTTCGTGTCCTTTCAGAAACTCCCTCTTGCTCAGTAGGATCCTTCCCTTATCTGTCTGTTTCAGTGAGTTCACTCTATCGCTGCCACCGTATCTGTCTCGCTCTTCTATTCTTAATGCCAAGTCTTTTCTTGGTTTCCGAATGTCTCTCTGTTCTTGTAATTTATTTTCCTAAAATTAAAAATATTACCTTTGTCCAGTCGTCTTCTTTTTGCTGATATTGCTGTTCCCTGATCTCCGAGATTGCTTAGGCAGTATGTAAAGTTTTTGCTAATTCTGCCTTCTCCAAGTCTCTTCTTCATTAGATTTCTCTCAGTCAAAATATCGTTGGCTTCTTGTATCTTCCGTTTTATTGTATTCCCATAATATGTAGCCAGCCTATCTGTCGATTTTCACTCGATTTCGTGTCCCGTCTGTGATGTGATCCGCTATTTCGCATCTTTTAGTGACCATGTTTCTGCAAAGTCCAGTCTTCCTTGATTTGTAGGCTGATTTTTCTTCCTTTTCACTAATATTTCCTTCTGCTCACAATTGCAGCATTTGATGCTATAGACTCCCGAGCAATCAAGATTGTCAACCCCCTCGTGCTGGTCGGCATACTTGTAAATAGTGTTGTCTTTTATTTTATCACCTTGATTTTGAATTTTCTTAGCAACGGTCGCAATTTCTGGCTCAGTTCACAGGAGGGCAGGCATATCCACTTTTGGTCATCCTCTCGATTTCAGATCTTATTTTCTCTGGCGTACCCGTTACTAAAGCAAATCTGAGTCAATTTCTCCAGCTCCTCATTCCAAAAATAAGTGTCCGTTAATCTCTAGTTTCTCTTAATCATACTCCTCATTATTCCGATCTCCAATTTATAGTTTTGATGAGACTGGAAGTTGAAGATTATTTCCGTATGTGTTTCCTTTCTGAATAGTCTCCTTTTGAGTATTATGTTCGAGCAAATGACCTCAATATCCAGGAAGAGTAGTCGTTTATTCTTCTCCACCTTCCATCGAGTTTGTTTAAAAAATTAGGGAACTCATCAAAATTTTTCTTACCATGCAACCAAAGTGCAAAATAGTCGTCCAGATATCGCATAAGCACTCTTGGTTGCAGCGGTAACTTCTCGAATTCCTCCAATCTGTCCAAAAGAGGTGAGAGTGGAGGTTCCATCGGCAGTCCAAACATTTGGCTATAGATATCGCCGTTGGATGTAAAATATGTGGTACTTACTGTCAGGTTGATTAATCGTGTTAACGACTCCTTCCATATCCGCTCTGCTTCCAGGATATACTCCTCTCGTTCTAATACGTCTAGCAAGGCGGTGATTGCCTTTTCGCCTGAGATGTTTGTGTACATGGATTGTACGTCAAAAAATTACCAACATTTCCGTCCCTGCCAGTCCTATATTTTGAATCCTTTGAGAAAATTCATATGGATTCTTCACGGTGTTCAAGAATCTGTCGTTTACTTTCTTAGGCTTCAAGCATATAAATTCCGCTAGTATGTTTGCTGCTCCATAATGTTTGCAACAATTCCAAAAAGCCAAATGGCAGGATTGGCTTACATTTCTCTTCTTGGTACGGTAGCCATACAAAAGGCCACACCATCCAGGTCCTTAAACCAGCCTCTTTTGGTCTGCACTTGGGTCATAAATTTCCTTATTGACATCCATTACAGACATTCTTGGCTCGCCAGCTTACTGTGATGCAACGCGAAGTCAGCTCAATGGTAGTGGCAACCAATTCTGCTGGACCAAGCGGCCCAACGAGTGGTTTAAATAATGGGACGCAGTTGTTTCCTGGTGGTTCTTCTGGGGATGGCCCTCAGAGTATTGGTGGCAGCAGTGGCCAGTTAATGATGATGATGATGGCCGCGGCAGCAAACGGCGGCCTCGGGCTGGATGGATCTCCTCTCCCTAGCACTGGTGGAATGACTGGAGCCTCTGGTGGAGGCCCCGTTCCTGGAATGGCTGGCATCACCGGACAGTCGAGTGGATCTGGTACATTATCTGGGACTCCGACAATGGTTAATATGGCGGGGAGTACGGTGAGTAGCAGTCCGAGTAGCGCTGGATTGCCAGGTTCGGTGGGCTCCGGAGCCCGGCCGTCCTCAGGCTCCGCAGTGAGAACACCGATCTCTGGAATGCGTGTAAAGGTAGGCATTTTTCAATTATTGGAATTAGTCAAGTGCTTGTTTGTTTAAAAGTCACCTATGCAATAACTATTGATTTAAATCAATGTTAACCCACTTTGAACTTAGTAAGGTTTTTTTACTCCACATTTCACAGCCAAACGGCTGCAGTACAACGAGATTCATCCGACCAACGAATCTCTTCTTCATGCACTTTCATCTGAAATGAAGGTCCCCCTAACAATATAATCTCTATAAAAATATCGTTTTTATTAGAACTTCATTTATAAATACATATTTTTTTGAAATATATAAATTAAAAATATTTATACATAATTTTTCTACCTGGGAAAATATATACATGATTTACTTAGTGGCTGCTCATATTTCCGTCAGTCACTGCTGCTATAATATGTTGTCATGTCATTCTCGCAGCCAGTTCTAGTATAGCGATAATAGTATTAGAACATGATCGCACAGATCAAGTCCACTGTCTGACGCTGGCCAAAAATGGAATGTTTACATTATTTTGAAATAAGTCTAACTTACTAAGTATCTTCTTTGCCTTTATATCACTTCATCTGCATCACTACTTTAGACCTCTGGAATGTCACCTGGCACAGGTTCCCCCGGGTCAACTGGCGCGTCTCCAAATGTTGGCGTTAGTCCTGGAATGGGAGCTGGTGGAGTTGGGACCTCTGGTGCCTCTGAAGGCGTATTGGCTAATTTCTTTAATAGTCTTCTCAGCAAGAAAACTCCCAATCTGTCGCCTTCTGGATCGAGCGGGGTGGTTGGGGGGTTGTGCCCAACCGGTTCACAGGCAAACAATTCCGGTGTGTCTCCAAGTTTGGGAGCTGGTGTTGTTATCGGCGGACACACGCCGGCCGGAGGTCTGCATTGCTATCCTAAATTATTTTAATAAAGTTATCCTTCCTGATTGTTATTGCAAAATAACGCGTCAAGAGGAATTAGTGAGACAAAAACAAGTCATTTCCTCAGTTGGTTAAACATTATCTTTCCATAGTTTATACAAGGAATCATGAGAAATGTGAAAGTTAATCTTTTCTTATGTTGGAGTACCTTTAGTTTAGTTTGAACAGGCGAGTAAAGGGGGTTTGTAAGTTGGTCTCACCGTAAGCCGAAAGGGAGTTGCATTGGAGCTGCAACTGTAGATTTTGGCGAATGGGTTCTTGACTAAACATCTCGCGACCCCAATGGTCCTTGCTAGGAGTTTGTACGTCAGTATATGGGTCGGCAGGTCTTCCCCACATATGCTACCACGTGTTGAAGGAGTGTATTCATTTTCCAATTATATATTTTTCCATTTGTTAAACAATGGGGCGATTAAGGAAAATTTTAGTTAATAGCGATTTTTCATTAAGATTTGTTTACAATTATTTTAGAATTTCAGCAAATAGGATGGAGGGAAGCATTTATTTGGGGCAAGATAGGCGGTCAAACCACTCTACAAGGGTTCTGGAGTTACCTATCTATTAGCCTTCGGAAAAGATAAGTGAATTATTGAGGAAGTAGAAAATCAAGGAAATGTATGAGAAAATAACACAATCTTCGGTAATGACATATTTCCGGAAATATTCTAACTTTCCGTATCTGGCTATTACAGGTTCTCACACCTCACGCAATTCAAGAGCATCGCATGCACACAACAAAAATTCAACGGAACGCAATCACATGCGTCAAAAATATAAGTGACTTGGAGGAGGGTGAGACTGTTCGGTCACAATTGCATGCGTTTTACGCTTCATCTACCAACACTTCACTTTACAACTAGCATGTAGGATGAGTATTGGATATCCGACCAAATCCTAAGATGCCATATTAAGTGGACAAAGTTAGGCTACAAGAATTAGATCACCGGTCGCCTTTCCTATCTTTCTTATTGGTGAATTATCATAAAGCATGGTGTCCAAGTCCCATGATGTCCGTCGTATTGTCGACGAAAGCTCAGCAAGGATGCTTCGGGGTCGCGGAATGATGAGCCGAGGACTTAATCATACAAATCTAAAGTCACAGTTCCAAGGCATCCTTCATTCGACTTCCGGTCAGATCAACCTATGAATCCCTTCCACTTGCCTCTTGAA